AATTAACAATAAATGTTCTGCTTTAAAAAAAAAAGAGCAGAGAGAATAGCCTTTTCAATAGATGGCAGGCACTGCAGCTGCTATATAGTTTATACTGAAGGTGGGGAGTGAACTTGGAACCGTACCTTGTACCACATACAGCAATTACTTCAAAATGGATCTGGCTTCAGTATAAAACCTATCATTTATGGGGAAAAGGCAACATATTGTGACCTGGAGTGGGACAGAGTTCATAGATGGTACACGCCTGTAAGTCTAGCACTGTAGGAAGTTAAGGCAGGAGGGTTCCAAGTTCAAGCCCAGCTAGGGCAACTTAGTTACTTAGAGACATGTTTCAGAAATAAAAAATAAAAAGGGCTGGAGATGTAGCTCCGTGCAAAGACCCTGAGTTCAATCCCCAGTATCAGAAAAAAAATTTTTTAAAGGACAAAAGAATGAGTAAATAAGATTTTACTAAAAGTAAAAATGTCTGCTCTTTAAAAGAAACTACAAAGAAACTGAGTTGGGTGAGGTGTTGCACACCTGTAATTCTAGCACTCTCATAGGCTGAAGCAGGATTTCAAGTTTGAGCCCAGACAGGGCAATTTAGGAAGACCCTGTCTCAAAAATTAAAACTAAACAAAAAGGACTGGGGATATTGCTCAGTGTGGCTTTGGGTTAAATCCCCAGCACACAGGGGTAGAGGGCACACCAGCCTCTGAACTGACAAGCTTAACAGACTGAGAAGCCTTTGCAGAGCACACACCTCACAAAGGAATTGTATCTAGAATATATATATAAGGAACCCTCAAAATCAGTAGGACCACAACACTGATGTCAAACCCAGCTCCCACCTCACATGCTCTGCCAGTTCCTTCAGGGACCCTGGGGATGGGCTGTGGCAGGCTGGTCGGCCCAACACCAGGCCTGGCCTTTCAGACAGTAGGCAGCTACCACAGCCAAGAACACCCTGAGCTGCCACCTCCTGGAGAGAAACAGGGAGAGAGGATGGAGCCATTCAGACAGCCACCATCAGAAGCACCTGAACAGGAGACCCAGGACATCTGCCCAGCCACCCAGCCACACCCAGACCCAATTCAACATTAAGTGGCTGAAGCCACCATGTTTAGGGGCTTTCAAGGAACATACAACCCAACACACGAACACATAGACTCATACATGCACAACACTTCCTCCAAAAATACTACAAACCAGTGCTACCTATAGATGCAAAACCAGTCTTACAGGTTGTTAAGTGGTTAACACACCTTGGCCAAGAGGAGCTTAGCCCAGGAATGCAAGACAGTTCAAAAACCAAGTTTGTTTATATAATGCATAGCTTTAGGGAGATAAATGAGCAACCATACAGTTGTCACTCAGGTTTTAGAAGCACTCCTAGAAAAACTATTTTTGTCAGTTACCATTGTTTTGTTTTCAATTATAGTACTGACTTTACTTTGAGGTTGTACTGAGAGAAGCCAACAAGATTTAATATTTTTCCTGATAAAATATGGGCAAGGAAGAGGATGAAAAAATGAATTAAGATATGTTACGTCCATGTCCCAACTCCTCATGAAGAATGTAATCATTACTGGGCCAGGGATGTAGCTCAGTGGCACAGCACCTGCCTGGAAAGCGCAAGGTCCTGAGTTTGATCTGTGATACCAAAAAAATAAAATTGTAATCAAGTACACACGTACCAATAAAAATTAAAAATTAAAAAAAAACATGGGCAAGGCTGAGCTGTGGTACCCATTGAGTCAGGAAGACAACAGGCCTCAGCTGTCATCAGCAGGAAACGCTGTCCCCAGAGCTCTTGGCAGCAGAATCAATGTTATAATGTGGCGAAATCATCATAACACATATCAGCCAAAGCCAGTTTAAAAATATTAAAACGGCACAAAAACTAGAAAATAATTAGTAAAACACTTAAAAAGATGGAGGCTTATATTCCACCTGTGGGTCAGCTAACACTGAGTCCACCAGATGGCAGTAATATGTAGAGGGCAGAGAATTGACTTTCATTTTGTACATTAGATTTTTCACTTTTTTTGTACATATATTTCACTCTGAGGGAGTGAGGGGTGAGACAGTCTCATTATGTAATCCAGGCCAACTGTGAGCTTGCTGTATATAGCACACACTGGCCTTGAACCTGTGATCCTCCTGCTCCTGCCTCCTGAATGCTGGGATATCAGGTGTGTGCCACCACACCTGACTGCTATATTACCTTTAAGATAAGAAAATGTGATATACACTGAAAACTTTAGCCACAACTCTAAATAAAGAGCCAGTCAATAGAAACTGATACAAACTTCACAATTTCAGATTTTTAGCTAGTACACATTCATTTTAAATAAAGACTGGGGCTGACGGTGTAACTCAAGGGTACAGCCCTGGAACAGTGTGTTAGTTGGTTTTCCCTCACTGTGGGGCCAAAGTGCAGATGTTTCAGTGATCTGGATTCAGTGCCACATGGGGTGAGGTGGCAGCACTGTGCAGTCACCACGTATGGTTACGACAGGACATGCTCCAGGACTCCTTGTCTGATCAGTTGCTCACACTTCCATCGAGGCAAAAAGTGCTGAGGAGAAAAGGGTGGGGAAGAGTCAGAGAAATAACCAAGATTTTATATATATTTGTCATCATTAAAAAGCAGCAGCTGATTATTTTTCAAATGCCCACAGCTAAATAGTTCAAAGTTCAACTTAACCGTATTTGCTGTTATGATCAACTGAAATTGATTCACTGCAAGGTGTGTGGAATTCTTACTTTCATAAATGAGTTCAGTTTGCTGAAGTTAATTTCAACTAGGGACTTGTGGATTCTGGTAGGCATTTCCCACAAGGGTCTGCATTTGCGAATTCATGCGCAGAAAACCCAGGAGGACGAGGTGGGGGCACAGGTTACCAATGGTATAGCAGCCCAGTGGGAAGACCACCAGAAAGAGCACCTTCCCCAGGGAGCTTTATTGTTCTAGCATCAACAGTGGCAATTTTGCTTTTGTGCTTTTGAAAAATTAAAGGTACTCCTGAGTACGAGGGCACTATTTACACGCTGTGTGTGAAGATGCTGGCATCTGCTGACAGCCATTTTGTATCCCCAGGGAGGACACCCCTGTTATTCTGAGAGGACTGAGACCAAGTGAAAAGCAGTCTCTCTCCTTCTCCAAAGTAGGGGGTTTCATGTTGCAGTGAATGGAGTAGGAAGACATGGAAGTACACAGATCATGGAAAGATGTTCAACCTCAAAAAAAAGATGTAATTGGGCAAAAGTGAGAAACAGAACATTATAAATGAAGGCAAATAACCTTAGAAAATAATCTCAGTGAAAGAGATTATCAAAACTATTTAAACCAGCTAAAGCTGAAACAGGAGGATCGAAAGTTCAAGCCAAGCCTGGGCGACACAGTAACTCAGCAAGGTGCTATCTCAAAATTTTTCTTAAAAATTTAAATAGGCTGGGGAGGTAGCTCAGTGCTGAGGCCCTGAGTTCAATTCCCAGTAACTCCCTCAAAAAAAAATTCAAGAAGGAAAATGTAACTTCAGCAAACCGGTATTTGAAGATCCTGCCTCAAAAACTCAAAAGCTGGCCAGGTACAGTGATGCACGCCTGTAATCCCAGCACTTGGGAGACTGAGGCAGGAGGATCGCTGTGAGTTCGAGACCAACCTAGGCTACGTAGTGAGTTCCAGGTCAGTCTCAACTACACAGTGAGACCCTGTCTCAAAAAACTAAAACAAACAAAAAAAACTCTAAACGGCTTGAGTCAGGGATTTAGCTCAGTGGTTCCACTGCCTGCTTCTTGAGTGCAAGGACCTGAGTTCAATTTCTAGTACCAAAAAAAAAAAAAAAAA